CACTGAAAATGCTTTTTACATGGGTGCTGGGGATCTGAGCTCCGGTTCTCATGTGGCAAGAACTTTACCATATGAGCCATCACCCCAGTCCTCCATGTTTTATCATCTAGTGAACTGGGATGCAGCTTACATTTAGTTGGTGTGTTTAATTAGCTTTTCCTTTCTTAGTGGCACTTATAACAATTTCATACAGTTAATAACACTCTAAATTTATTATTTATTGTTTGGTTTCTCAAGACAGAGTTTATGTGGCCCTAGTCATCCTGTAACCAGAATGGCCTCTAACTTAGAGACCTGCCTGCCTCTGTCTCCTGAGTGCTGGAATTACAGGCATGTGCCTCCATTACCTGGCCTTAAATTTAATAAGATTTAATGAAAAAAAGCGTCCATACATTTCTGAGTGGTCTGTGATAGGATAGTGATGCCTTATTGAGAACCAGAACGACAGGAAAGCTGGTATTTTCTTCCTTATGTCTGTGAGGTCTGAGTACTCACTTCTGATCCATTGAGTTGCTCCTTGAGTCCACCAGAGAGGGGCATGTGGAGGAGGGAGTGAGGGTAGAACTGCTAAAACTGGACACAGAGGGATCCCTTCCAATTGGAGAGATATCAGACAACTAGAAACAAGGACATTACCAATGAGATTCAGCAGCAAAACAACGGAGCTCAGCTTTAGCTAGACTAATTGGCCAGCAAGGCCCCAAGATCCACCTGTTTCTGCCTCAACACCGGGATTACACGCATGTTTCACTGAAAATGCTTTTTACATGGGTGCTGGGGATCTAAATTCGGGTTCTCGTGCTTTTATGGCAAGAACTTTAGCTCTGCCTCCACTGTAGAGAGCAGCAGCAGTTGTCTAAGACAACCAGCACCTCATTTTTATTAAGCTGAATCAAAACTCATTAGGGAAGACAAACCTCAGCCGGGTAGTGGTGGCACACGCATTTAATCCCAGCACTCGGGAGGCAGAGGCAGGCAGATCTCTGTGAGTTTGCCAGCCTGGTCTACAGAGCGAGTTCCAGGACAGGCTCCAAAGTTACACAGAGAAACCCTGTCTCCAAAAACAAAAGCAAAAACAAAAATCCAAACTTTTGGTGTTTTTCCTGCATGTATGTGTGAGGATGTCAGATCTTGGAGTTACAGACAGTTGTGAGCTGCCATGTAGACACTGGGAGTTGAACCTGGTTCCTTTGGAAAAGCAGTCAGCGCTCTTAACCACTGAGTCATCTTTCCAGCACCTGGCCTTACAACTTTTGTGTCATACAAAAACATACCATTTCCTACATCACATGCTCTTCTAAGGGACTCAGGATAAAAACAAAATATTTCCTGTGTTGATGGAGATGTCCTTCTGTATATATGGTTCTCTTATTGGTTGATGAATAAAACACCGTTTGGCCAGTAGAGGCAGTAAGATAGGCAGGGTTAGGAGACGAGGAGAATTCTGGGAGAGGTAGGCAGAGAGAGACCACAAGGGGATACCATGTAGAGACTGGGAAGATAGGACGTGCCAGGCATTTTCTGGTAAGATAAGGCCAAGTAGAAATACATAGACTAGTAATTATGGATTAATAATTAAGACAGAGCCAGCCAATAATCAGCCCTAGCCATAGGCCAACAGTTTAATAATTAATATAAGTCTTTGTGTGCTTATTTGGAACTGAAGCAGCGGTGGGACCTGGTGTGACAAGAAACTCCAGCAACACTGTGTGACAGTGACCCTAAGCATTGTAGAGGGAGACTGCCATCTTCAGAAGTCAGTATTCGGACTGTACAAAATCAGAAGACATACCAGAGAATAATGTTATATACCTTCAAACACAATCTATACCTCCCACAGGCCCGAAAAGCACAAAAGCTGTGACAGGACATGTGGACAGCTGGGAAGAAACAGTCATCACCACCATGGTGAAAAAAACGACAGCCTAGTGTGCTCACCTTACAGTCACTGATGCTGCCATGTACCTGGTTGAATTCTCGGTTGAAAGTATGGGTGAGAAGCTGCAGGCACTAAGAAGAGAGAATGACAGACAGTGAATTGGTTAAGGTTGAACATAAAACTCCACTGGCTACATGAACCCCTGTATACAAGGAGAACATGTCCTATACCTAGGCTAGAGCTCAGATGTCCTCAGAATAACTGAGACTATGCTGAGGAAAGCCACATACATCTAAGTAAGGCCAAAAAAAAATCAAATGGATTTAAACATTGCACTGGCTTTGTAGACCAGGCTGGCCTTGAACTCACAGAGATTCACCTGGCTCTGCCTCACAAGTGCTGTGATTAAAGGTGAGCACCACCATCAGGCTAAAAAAACACTTTTAATACAACGAAAGCATATTCCTACAAACATAATAGCTTAGGAGTGCTTAGGGCTCAAACATGGTGGGCCATGACAGCACTCAGGAAGCAGAGGCAGGTGGATCTCTGTGAACTGAATTCAAGGTCAGACTGGACTAGGCCAGCTAGGATTATATAATAGAGACACCCTGCCAAAAAGAAAGTGCTTAGGAATATAGCAGCAGGACCAGGCATGACAATATATGTCTCTAATTCTAGCACTCAGCAGACAGAGCTGGGAGGGTTGCTGCAAGATCAAGGCTAGCCTGATCTACATAACCAGTTCCAGATCAGCCAAGGCAATACAGGAAGACTCCTGTTTCAGAAAACCCAAAAGAATGGACATCCCTTCATTTCTCAATTCAATAAAAGACATAGACATGGGTTGGGAATATAGCATAGTGGGTAGTATTTGCCTAGCATATATGAGGATTTAAGTTCAATTCCCCACACTGGAAAAACAGAAACATAACGCTTCTTGTTTAATACATTTTCCTAAACACACTAGAAGACCACTTGACTACTAAAACAAAAACCCCTGTCAGTTTCCTATTTCCTCTGTCACCAACTCCCCAGCAACCACACACTCAGGGATGATCTTCAACAACCCTTTGCCTTCTCCCATGTAGACACAAGTTTCTGTCTGCCTGGTCCCACAGCCATTTGGTCCCAAATAAACACACAGAGGCTTATATTAACTATAAACTGTTAGGCCTATGCTATGGCTGGGGTTTCTTATTGGCTATCCCTCTCTTAATTATTAACCCATTTCTATTACTTTGTGCTCTTGGTTTATGGGTGATGCCCAGGCCTCTTGCTTCCTCAGCTGCTATATGGCATCTCCCTGACTCCGCCTACTACCTTTCTCTATCCCTGTTTGGATTTCCTGCCTGGCAACCCCCTGCCTGTCCATTGGTTGAAACAGCTTTATTCATCAACCAGTAAGAGAAACAGAGTCACAGCATCCAGAAGGACATGGCCCATGATTCCTACCTACCCAGAACCCCTTCTTCACCCTCTTAAAAAGGCTTCATCTTTCCTTCCTGGTTCACTGTCTCAAGGAGCTAGCTCTCTCTTCTGCCACCTCACAAAGCTATCCTTTTTATTTTGATAAAGAAAACTTTTATTGTTGTTGTTTAATTTAATTTCTTGTAGTACTTAAGGTCAAACTCAGGGCCTTGCACATGCTGGGTAAGTACTCTATCACTGAGTTATATACTGAAGGGACCAGTTCCCCTTTTGGCAGCCATAACGGCCGAACACATGCTTGTCTGACCTTGT